GAAACCAAGTTTCTCTTCGTATTCATTTTCGCTACTTGGTCGTGTTGTCAGGATGACCTAGTTGGACGAAACCTTGCCCGAAGTCCCCTGCTACTGTAATTTTGATAATTCCAATCATTGAAATGTACCAAGTCAACGGTCCAAAACTGGAAATCAGCATAATTACTATAAAAGAGGACCTTGGACTAGGTGCGTTGAACTAGGCCAACACGACCAAGTTGCTAAATTATAAGTTTGCCTCTTTTTCTGCTCTTCCGTATAAGTAAGATTCAATCGAATCGAAAGGTTTACTTGCATTTTTGTGCGAAAAACTTCAGATCGCATAATGCGACTCTGACTTTCAGACAAAATGTCTTCAATTTTTTGCATCAGATGCCATTTGCCAATGGCAAGACAATTATCGACGAAGTGAAACGAAATCTTCAACTTCAATTAGCTCCAACTAGCCTCACTTCATCGCTGGTAGTCTGACTGTTGCCAACATTAGCTCATTGACAAGAAATGACATGGAACTTGGCATCGCGCCATCAAGTCATTCGAGATCTGCCTCGCGTGACTAATATCTTGCGAGGAAGACACTATCACCAATGGAACCATGCCGTCACCAGTCTGGCTATACATGTACATTTGTTTGTGTATATGTATGTGTGTACGTAAAGGTGTGATTAATTAAAATAAGTGAGTGTTCTGTGTCTATTTGGGCCCTAAACTCTCTTTTGCCTCCCCAGAATGCTAGTTGAGATTGCGGAATTCGAATCCGAACCCATACGGCCCAGGTTTGGATGTAGCCTTGGGTCTGGTCCCAGTTGTCAGTCATTGTTTGACCTCATGTTTGACCCTGTTAAAGCAAGTTAATCCAGCTACCAAGGCAACTTTGAGAAACTTGCGTCGCCCGCTCTCTGCCAGTGCTATCCCGTGTCATTCGAGCGTCGATTCGTTGAAACGACGGTTTATCAACAGCTTGTGCCGGCATCGACAGCGAGAAGAGCTGTCGCTCCACATTGAAGTGGAGATGGGCGATGAAGCTAAAGAGCTAAGAGAGAGGGCAGCTGTCAGAGAAGAGGGGAGAGAGAGAGATGTCACAATTGTGGAAAAGAAAGTTGTCATTTTGACGAGTTGTAGCTCGGTGCTAGGGCTAAAATTCGTCGCAGTGATGATGCCGGCGAAATATCTGAGAGTGTATCAAGTCAACTGTCTGATATGGGAGGCATGACAACAATGACAGAGGGTTAATTACCGATAAATGGCCTAGAAATGACTCAAACGACAAGATTACGTTGCCAAGACGATGTCAAGCTATGCTTTAAAGTGATCTAACCCCAGTTTCAGAGTTAGGAGGTACTGCCAGGATGACTTCTAACAGTGCAGTCTGCATCACATCCCCTAACTTTGATGTCAAGCCCTATTTTCTCCTTGGACCATTCACTTGATACATTACCGTCAGCAAGTGCCAGCCTTAAGACAAACTACAATTCATCAAAGAACCAATTAAAATCCATCCCTTGAACAACTTTCTGCTAATCAGTTATGGTATCTTGTCTTCGCATGTCTTGGTACATTTACCCATATGTCCCACTTATGTTGTCTTGTTTGGTCTGATCCACTCGAGGAAACTTCCGTCAGATTTTCCCTCGTGTCCTCGACGCTCGGTTGCTTGAATAAAAGCTTTATTCGATTAACATTGTGAAGCAATGGTAGCGAATTTTTCCGCTATGAGATAAGAAGACTTAATGCTTCCTTTGAAGTTCACCTAGCCTTGCTATGGTAGTGCAGCATATAATTTCGACATATTACCGCTACCCGAAAATTATTTATATCTAAAATGTGCCACCGCTACGTCAGTCATAGAGTAGAAGTGCATTTCAAGGCAGGCTAGACTTTTCCAATATCTCATTTTTATTGTGGGATTGTTGCTGAAACAAACATGTATTTGTCATTACAGCAGAAAACGTTACTTGTATTCTAATTAAGTAGTATTTTCATATTATCAGCAGATGTTGACTAAGAGCTTTCTTCACCCTAGACTGCTAAAGGCGACTGATGGTGAATTTCTCCGCAATCAGATGAATGCCTCGCGAGAAATCTCATCATGAGAAAATTAATTATAAATCATTCATCACCTTAAGAGGCATAGGGTGATTATGGCTCTTACGTAAGATCCACTGATAGTCTCGAACTCCTACTTACTTGGAAAACAATCAGCTAGACGGATTCCACTCCCTACTTCCACTTCAGACATTATTTCACACGATTTGCCTCATCCTTCAGGGTTCCCAAGCCCTGAAGCTCAAGAGTTATACCAGCCAGAAGCACACTCTCACAGTTATCGTTTTCCTGTCAGACCATTCGGGCTTCTATGCTTGGCCTCTCTTTTAAGCCCCAGGTTTGCTATCTCTATTTTGCTAAAGTCGGGTTCTCCATTTCCTTTTATATCAAAACCCTCAATCTGATCTCTCGTCTCACCAATCCCTCCACAACTTCAAATGAATTTCACGTAGCCTTGCTTCCAAAAAGGTATTATCATCCCGGGTTGGCTGAAGTTTCGACCTCGCCTCGGTCTCATCAGCACCCCCAGCGGGACTCGAACTACGGTCGTGGTAGTGGAACGTATGAAATCTAGAAGTTAAGTACTACACCACACTGCCACGAGTCCTCTTGTGTCACAGGGCGGATGTGAATTTCAAGTAAATTCCGACCGTTTCCCATATCACATTCTGTGGAAGAATTGTAGATGAAAAGCGAAGCGAATAATAAAATTTCTATACAACGTTGCTTCATCGACAATCCCACGACAGAATGTGATATGGGAAAAGTTCTAGCTTTGTTTGATATTCACATCCTTCCTGTGACCACCAGACACTTGTGGCAGTCTTGCGTTGTGGTTCAGGCGTGATATTATACGCTGTACTACAAAGACCCTAGTTCGAGCCTTGCTAGGGTGCGGATGAGACCTAGACAGGTCAAAACTGCAGTATAGACCGACATGGATTGGAATCCATTTTGGAAAGCAAGGCTATGTAAGAACCAACCACGACGAAGATGGCGACTGCGAAAGGAACGATGATTGCGAAAACAGAAAAATAAGGCCAAAAGCTAAGATGAAATAACGACGACGACGACGACGACGACGACGATGATAACGGAGACTTTTATAACATTAATGAAGGCTAAGACGACGGCGATGAGAATTACGACAATGGCGAGGCCAACAACAAAGAAGAGAAGGGAGGCAATAACTACAATGAAGGCAACGACAACGATGAAGATAACAACGGCGACTATTAGACCATCGATGAGGACGAGAAGATGGCGATGAGGATGACGACAATAGCAAAGAAATCAACGACGAAGACGACGATTCTGGTAACGATAACGAAGGCAATATGTAGGAGATCAGAGCGTACAAGGCAACTCTGACAACGGCGAATTCAATAACATTGATGACGACAAAGTCGATGGCGGAAAAGATGGCGACAATGATGAGGACAACAATACCGAAGACAAATGCGATGACGACGAGGACGGCGATGTCGCCGAAAACGAAGGTAATATCTACGATGATATCAACGTCCACGACGACGAGGAGATTGAGGACAATGGCGACGAAAAAACGACGAAGGCGACTGTGCTGAACCCGACAATGAAGGCGATAACTAAGTTGGAAGTAACGTTTACGACAACGAGGGAAACGGCGAATTCAATAACATCGATGACGATAAAGACGACAGTGATAAAGATTACGAAAATGGCAATTAAAAGTACCATAAATTCAAAGGCGATGGCTTTGTCGACGGCGACAACGAAGGCAATAACTACAAGGACAGAAACGGCGACGACGACTTCTAGTACATTGCTGGAGTCTAAGACGAAGGCGATGTGAATGACGACAACGGCGGGGACAACAACAACGAAGACACAGTAGATGATGACGATAGCGAAGATGATAAAGAGGAAGACGATGACGATCTCGACGAAATCGTAGGTAATATCTACGATGACAACAACGGAGACGACATAATATCGATGCTGAGGAAGAGGACTGCGATGAGGATGATGAAAATGCGACTAAAAGAACGGTGAAGCCAAGGGCGAATGCAATGATGACGGCGACGACTTGATGTCAACGGCAACGACATAACATCGATTCTGACGAAGACGACGACAATGAGGATGATGAAAATGGCGACTAAAGAACGATGAAGCCAAGGGCGAATGCGACGACGACGGTGATGACGAAGATGTCGAAGGAAATAACTAGAAGGACAGAAACGGCGACGACGACTTTGATCACATCGCTGGAGTCTAAGACGATGGCGATGT